CCTCTCCGTCTCTCTGTGGAGAATTGGAAAAAAATTTTTTAGAACATCATTGTTGTCAGATTTGGGTATTTTTTGAGTAAATATTTGGACCAGAATATAGGATCCCTCGCCAGCCAGGATTCAAGTTGGCAGTGAACTTCAGAGCAGTCATTCAACAATAATTTACAGATGTCAGATTAAATTTAGTCCACTGTTTTGGTCAAACCTTGAAGATACAGTTATGTTTTATTGCAGGCAATATTGTGTAGGGGTAACCCTGGTGAAATATTCATTTCTATTTTTTGTCTTTGATTTTATTTTTTACACTTATAAGAAGAAAATCATTTTAAAGTGTTTRTATTTTCTTTAAGTGAATACAACAATATATTCCATATGTTTTTCCATTTAATCTTCTATTAGAGGTTATGATCAATATATCATTACTCAAAGTTTTATTGAATTAATCTTTGCATGTCTCTTTATTCCAGAGTTTGACACTGTGAAGGAAAAAGAGTTGAAATGTGTTTTTAATGTTTTTTCTTAGTACTGGTATTAATCATGGTTTTATCATTTTTTAAATTGATTTATTGATTAATTATAATGTATTATTAATCCATTGGTGCAAAGGTCTGACTTATAACCTTAGGTGAAGTGATTTCTAAGTCCACCAGTTTAGTCTGCCTTTTCTCAGGCTCCAAGGTCTTTTGCTGATAAACAACACCGCAGCTGGCCGCAAGTGTGGGAAAATCAGATTGTTTTCTTTCTCACCTTTTTTCCCCTCTCAAAGAAACTAATTTTCTGTTCGGAACAGTTAACACTAGTCGTTGTTCGTTGTCCGTCGGAGTGCATGGTTCTGTCTGAGTCTCTCTGAGTGCGAGCCGTGCAGGCACCTGCCTGTGGAAGTCTGGTTGTCACTAACATGCCTAGAAGCACCGGAATGACTGAGACCGCGCCTGGAGCCACTGGAGGCTCCTTAGGGGTGAGACGAGGAGTCTTCTCAACCCCCCCGCTGTCATGAGCGACATTATCCTGCGGACTTCAATGCTGACCGTCTACCGATGAACCATCTACCTGCCTGTGGGCTTGTCTCTGTCTGTGAAGACATCAAAAGGTAGAAAAGTGTTTGCTGAGATGGGTCGCCYAGGTGAAGTCTAGCCCCGGAGATGTCTCGTGCTGTGACATGCTGTTTGCTGGTCTGGTCTAATTTAAAGAACAAGTGCCAAATTCACTAATTTACTTTTCTTACTATTCTTAATGCTTAAATCTTTACCTTATTCTCTCATTTACTTAAAACCTAGTTAAGCAACGTGCCAGTAAATTACAACACCTTAAATTTACTGTTTTTGTCAACTCTGAGTGGAATTTTTATGCCGAAAATATATAACTTGTGTCATTTATCCATATAATACTTTAATAAATGTTTGTATGTTTAATCCTGTTCATATATCTAAAATAAATTACTTTATTTTGAGAAATCTGTTCAGGTCACAAGTTTTCATTTTTCTCATTCATGATCAGAGGTGTATTTCATTATTTCTGGGATTTCATTTTGCAAGATCTTGAGGGATTATTTTGTGAAGATTAGGCTGGTCCTAAATTTCACAGAGTGATTCATTACAATTGCATTGTCCATGAGATGCATTAGTGCTTGTAGTATGTGTTCCTAATGACTCTCAGCCATTACCTCACCGAATTAAAAAAGCTGTGAAAGTTAGTCATCTCTTTGTTTGCTAAGTTGCTTAAATGGGACGGCCATTTTCAATTAGACTGACTCCAAAGATTAACTAGAGTAATCACATTTTCTGAGATACAGACTTTGCTCAAAGAAGTGGAACAGAAGCTAAAATCCCCAAAACTATAGCTAAAAGCTTAAAAAAAAAAACTATAACTAAAAGATTATTTCATGAAATTGTAACTAAAAGCCGAAATCAACCAAACTGTAATTGATTGATTGATTGATTGATACAGCAGCTGCTTCAATCTATAATAAGCAAAATAGTAGCTAAACACTAAGATGAGCAAGACAGTAGCTTAAAACTAAAACTGGCACAACAGCAGCTAAAAGCTAGAATTAGCAAGACAATAGCTAAATCAGAGCACAAGAATACAAAAATAGAGCAGTTTTGCTGAAGCAGATTTCAAAGAACTGTGTTTTTTAAAGGAACGAAAGAGATTTCAGTATATTTCTTTGGCTAAGATTATTGTAAAAAAAGTTTGAAAAAAGTACAAATACTATAAGTCATAGCCCACTCATCCCAGTCGAGCCAAACATTTTCATATGAGTGGTTAAAATAGAGTTTATGTAAATGGTAATTGGCTTGAACTTATATAGTGCCTTATCAAGTCCACATGGACCCCAAAGTGCTTTACACTTCAGACATTCACCCCTTAACACACATTCACCCACTATATAGTTTAATTTCAACATAATATTCAGAAGAAACTATGAACAGTCAAAGAGTGATATTTTGGTAACAGATAAACTCACTACCAAAAACATTATCACCCTCTTTACCTTCATCAATGAGCAATAATGGAAGTTAAATAGTTTTTATTGCAAATATATTTGCTATATTCAGTAAATATTAGTGTCAAACGGGCAGAAAATGTTTGACAGCTTTTCTAAATAATTAGTTGTTTTTTGTTCATCTGTCTTCAACAGCATTGAAAGTTTTCATCTCCGCAGGATTTAATTGCAACGGAACCCTGTTATTAGACAAGTGTACTGTGAAAGATTATTTCTGGAAAGCTCAGCTTTACCCTAAATAGTAATGTGAGGTATCTTTTCTCCCCAGAGAGGGTGAAACAAAGTAAGAGGAGGGAGGAGGGGAGATAAAGAACATAAAAGGGGGGGTGGGGGGGTGGAGGATGAAAGCACGGGGAGACTGAAGAGACGGGAGATGAAAGCAGCAGGCACATCGGCGTCATTAAAATAATCATGTATAATTGAAGGAACATTTCCATGGCTGACTCGGTGCTCGCGCTCAGAAAGAACAGAAGTTGAAAATCTACCTTCTTTAGTTCTTTTACTGCTGGATGAGGTCGTCCAAAAGGCTCCTGTAAATACATCGTCCAATCATTGTTGCAGAAAAATGAGCAAATCTGTCTACTGTGTGTCTTTTAATTTACACAAGTAAAGCTTTAAAAGTGAGTTTTTATTGGCAGGATTTATCTTTTTGAGGTGTCTGCTCCAATCATAGAGCAGTTAGCTTTAATACACTTCTTTTCTTCAGGTTTAAAATGTCTCCCTTTTTCCATTTTAATTCCTCTTTACAACAAATAAAACCATCACTTTAGTAAACTCAGTCTAAAATACTCTAAAGGTTTACATGAAGTACATTCCACAGACTTAACAGAGCTAATAAGCTAAATTGGAGCCACAGTTGCTGAAAGGTCAGAGCTCAAGGCCAGACAACAGGCAGTTATTGGCTTTATGTAGCTTCAAAACTAAAAGCAGCAGAACAATAACTAGAGGCTAAAGACAGCACAAGAGTTGTTAAAAGCAGCAAATCAAAAGCTAAAAGCAACAAAACAGTTGCTAAAGCAAAACAACTCAAGCTAAAAACTAACAGAAAAAGAATGGCAGCTAAAAGCATCAACACTAGCTTAATGCTTTAGGCTGCAAAATAATTACTAGAAGCTAAAACAGCTAAAAGAAGCAAACACCAGCTAAAAGTAGAACAGTAGCTTAAAGCTAAAGGCAGCATAGCACTAGCTGAAAGAAACGGCAGTAAAACATTAGTTAGAATCTGCAAAGCATGAAGCAAGCAGGAAGTACCGTATTTATAATGTAATGCGCTTCGAGTATAATGCAGTCCCCATTTTTTGAGCTTAAAAAAGCATAAAAAAAATCTAATCCTTGTGTATAATGCTACTCCTAATTTCATACAGATGTCAGGATTTTTCAGCCCTTGCGGTGTACCCTCTGTGGGGAATCAGATTAATTTGGGGACATACCTGTGGGTGAGTTTGAACTGTCCCTTTTAAAACTTTGGTTACAGCAGGTTGGATTAGAAGCCAGATCCCGATAGTTCGAATTATTTTGAGTGATCATAGTTTAATCTTCAAGGATAAATATTTAACCCTTTTGCTTGTGAAGAAGTAAAACTTAAGCTACATGAAGGTTTATAAAATGCACATCATGTGATCGTATCAGTGTTTCAGGTATATAAAATGTCAAACCCCAGCAGTGATTGTTTCTAAAACATCCATTTAAAAGTCAGGAAGTCATAAACAAACTGTAAGTGTATTATTTATGGAGGATAATTACATGTCATGTGAAACAATCCCTCCAAGTATGTGTCACGTGTATATTTGTAATCTTTATTTAGCTCACCTGTAACAGGAAAAAATGTTTGACATGCTCACTCAGGTAGCAGCTAGCAGTCTGTAATACAACTGACCATGACTGAAGCTGCTCACCGGAGGGGGGCTTCAATTTGCAGAAAGTTAAGCTTTTTTAAAGCTCCTGCATATCATTTACCTCCAGCACTCATAAAACCTGCTTATATTCCTGGGAGGGAATATGAGCATGACTGACGAGATGTTATTCACTTAGGCTCGTGTGTGTGGGGAGTGTAACAGCAAGAAGAGGAAAATCCTATATTTATATAGGAGGCTTATTGTAAGATAGAAAGAAAAGCTGATTAGATTTAAAGTGAAATTAAAACAAATCTTTTACAGTGTGTTTATTTAGACAAAACATGTCTTTAAAGGGTTTTCTTTATTGTGTTTTATGCAATCCTAGCTACACTTCATCACATATCAGCCAAAAAGTCCATTTTTAAATTTTGTTTCCAGATGGACAGAATAGAAAGTTTTCCTGCAGCTGCTGTAAATTTAAAGCTTTGTCTTGGGCAGAGAACATATTTCTCCCCTGATGTTATTGGTATTGATTTTTGCAGCAATTCCAATGCAGTGTAGTTTTTTTTCTTCTTCTCTCTGTAGAGTTATCGATTTTATATTGAAACTGTTAATAAGNCCCCCCCCATCTCCATTCTGTCATCACCTTCTGTCTGCAGGTAATTTATGCTCTCAACACCAAAAATGATGAGCACGAGGAGGAAATCGAGTCTCTGAAAGAGGCCCACGAGGACGAGGTACTCACACTATGAAGCACCAGAAACGGGTTACATAAGACAAAACCTGTGGACCTGATCTGAATTTATATTTAGCATTGTGGTACGACTACAGGGTCAGAGTATAAATTTGGTGTCAGAGCTGCAGTTTCTTTTGGTCATATTTTAAGGGTAGTTCCCCCAACATGTACACACATTTTCTTACTCTTGCATTAAAAATATATATTTCCTCGTAGAAATGAAAACAGTGTCAGTTAAAATGATTTTACGCTAACAGTTTTGTGCCTTTTCAACTAAATGTGCAATCAGATATAATCTGCAGCTACACATGCCGTAAGTTCTCCTGTCACATCAAACTGACAGGTCACAAAGTAGTATAGTGAGATTTTAGCCAGTGCTATAATCGCTAAAAATGAGCGATTGTTGGATTTGGTCAGAATAAGATTAATAAATAACTTATCTATGGAACTCTTGAAGGAAATGTCTGAAATATAAACCTAAAGAATGTTATTAACAGTGGTGTCCGATCCTCTGCCATAAGCAGCTCTCTGGCCAATCGGTCTGCAGTCTGCTGAGGTCCAATGTTCAGTTCGACTCGGACAAGTAGGTCCTAAGAAGCGAGCCGAAAGTGGGTGGGACCAATCAATGGAAAATCAATGAACCCACGCTCCAGTGTAGCTAAGTCAAGACAATATAAAATTATCATTTGAAGATTATCACCTGTCTTAGTGTAAACTCGTCGAACCATAGTCTGAACATTGTTCCTAGGCCAGTGGTGTCTGATTCTGGTCCTTTAAGCCACTGTTGTGCACGTCTCACTACTTGTTTCCCTGCTCCAACACACCTGATTCAATTGAATTACCACTTGAAGTTCTGCAGAAGTCATTCAATTCATTACCCAGTCATTAAAATCTGTGTGTTGGTGCAGAGAAACCCCAAAAATAGTGGTTCCCAACCTGTGGGGCCTCTCCTGATGTAGATGTTATAAAATGTCAAAGTAAGATGTCTCACTATGGGTTACGCCTCCCCTACATTTTCCTCAGAAGCATTTATTTCTCTACGCCAATCCTTATTGGCTGGTGATCACTCTGTATGTGCCACCTACCCTTTAAGTAGCTTGTGCCATGATGCAACATCATTTGAATTAAGCACCTCTTCTTGTTTTTCCCCAGCAAGAACGGTTGTCTAGTGAGAAATCTCATTTATGCTACTCTGAAAATTGGGGCTATGCAAGTAAACTAAAGTTCTCATTCATAGCATTTGTTTCGATGTCTCACTATGGGATATGGAGACTCCCATATCGCCAGACAACTTATCTCTAGTGACCCCCACCGCTTAATGGTGCTCGTCCTGTTCCAGCAAGGACCCAGAGTTTAAAACATTGGAGACCACACTTGAAACAGAGAAATACAACTTATAAAATCAAGCAAAAGCAAGTGTTGATGACCAGCTCGCTGCTGCACATATGTCCTGAATAGAGACCTCTTTAAAAAGAGCCCAGAATGCAGCCATGCCACAGGTGGAGTGAGCATGTAGGTCCACAGGTACACACCATAGGCACAAAGGCTGGGTATGGCCCACAAAAGGGTGTTGGCTGTCTGTCTTCCCTTCAAAACCCATGTGACAGGCTGAGATAGCAGCCAGGTACCCCTTAATTGTGGAGAAGGCTTTTTGTTTATCAATCAGCTGCTGCAGAAATGACAGAATCTCCCCAACAGTACATTGAAAAGAGCCACTGTACCAGCAGTCAGTCGCCTTCCTCCTCTGTCTGGGGTACCACGCAGCAGCAGGAAGTCAGAGGAACACAGTCCTTGGCCAGGGGTGAGGAACTGGTGAGTCCAGCTCCATCAACTGTGAGAAGACGAGGCTGTCAGGCAGCCCTTTTCCTCCCACACATCAGGGTCCGGCTTAGTGGTCATATCCTCGCACAGCTCAGCTTGGTGTGCAGAGAGCATGGAGGAAACACCAAGCGCTTTAACAGCGACAGCTGCAGCTCTGTAGGCCCTCTCTGTCAAGGCAGCCACCAGCGCCTCCATTGGGGGAATCGTGCATGCATATCAAGCTTCGTCTTGCCCTCAAAATCCAGAAAGAGGGCTCCATGGATTTGACTCTTCCCACTGAACAGACAGTCTTTTCAGGAGACCACAACCTCCTCCAGCAGCTCTGGGAAAACGGAGCAGTTTTTTTGCAATCCTAGTGGTCTGTGGTAATTTCTTCCCTTGGTTACAGGATCTGGTAGTCTCTGTAGCTACTTCAGGCCATGGGATGTTAACTCTAGATGCAACACATTTGCAGACAGTCTGCATGTCCAAACACACAACAGGAGAGGCTGTCGTTTTCTCATTCCGGGGGGACAGACGAAATGCCAGGCTTTGCAGCCTGTGCATTTGGGATGAAGATTTCATCATGATCATCATCGTCATCTTTAGACACGAGGAGCTCCAAGATTACCTCATCCTTATAGTCCAGCTTCAGAATGTTCTCAGCAGATGAAAACACTGCGGCTAAGTCCAGCTGGGAGCCCTAGCTGCTTGTAGCTCTTGGTCCGGCGTCCACATATTTATCCCCCTCATTGTAGTTGCCAGGTGGTGGCCCGTTCGTTGACAAGTAAGAGGCCCTGCTGGAGTGGTTAGCTTGGTGTGCTAACCATCTTCGGAGGCTCTTCGTGGTGAAATGAGAACAGTTCGTTAACATACCCAAGACATCAATCACCATGTAGCCATGTTCCAGCCTGAGGCACGTCGAGCACACCTGGTGTGGATCTTTTTCCTCAAACTTCTGTTCCTGCAGCCACAGAAACAAAGCTCTGGGTCACTACCTCCTCTTTTATGAAGTGTAGTGGAATCCATGTTGGTTGCTGATTTGCTAGCCAAAATTGTCCCGAGCTAACAGGTATGCAAGCTTGAAATGGAAAACTGTAAAGCTGTTGTGGTAATACAGAAAACTACTCAGAAAGGTGATAGGTGCTCCAGACTATGGTGAAGACTGAAGCCACCGCAGCTAGCGCCTATCGACGGAGTGTTGGCAGTTTACCCTAGTAAGTGGACAGTTAAGCTAGTCTGCTAAAATCGAAGGGAGAAGAGGTTTTATCAACCATTCACCTTTATTTAACCAGATAGAGCCCATTGAGATCAAGATCTCTTTTCCAAGGGTGACTTGGTCAAGAGGTCAGCAGCACACGTCACAGGGTAGTTGACACAAAAGTTACATTGTAGAAAATAAAAATATACATAAAATACAGTAGCATCAAACAGATTTAGACAATGAGTAGTACAAACAATCTAGATGAGTCAAAGTAGTAATCTAGGCGTTGACAGATGTTTCAAGACAGATGTTTCTAAGACCTTAGAAGGATGCTGCGTCATGGGGCAAGCTACTTAAAGGGTAGGTGATGTATGTGTCACGATCACCAGCCAATCAGGATTGGCATAATGAAATAAATGCTTCTGAGGAATATGCATGGGGTGTATCCCATAGTGAGACATTGAAATGAATGTTGTGAATGAGAACTGATTCACACACTATCAAGTTACTTATATACTGTATAATAATGTATCTGATCATGTCTGTTCTTAAAATGTACAAACCCACAAGCTGAGTTCTGCATTGAAAACATGGGCTGTCTTTCTTTCTTTCTTTCTTTCTTTCTTTCTTTCTTTCTTTCTTTCTTTCTTTCTTTCTTTCTTTCTTTCTTTCTTTCTTTCTTTCTTTC